CTACACATGTTGGGAAGAATCATCACCTTGAATTATTAGACATTATTCGATTATTAATATTGTGTGAAGTTACTTTCTACATAATGAACAGTCTTACCGCGGGTTCATAAGAAGTACAAACGCATTTCACGCCTTCAACAAATGTTTAAATGGTGCAGCTTTACATACATTTTGAACCTTGACAATTTAGGATCAAACTGAATCAATATTGAAGAGATTGAAGTCAGTTTAAATATTCAGAAATAAACCTTCCTATTGAATATTTATTACAGTATGTTTGTTTTGGATCCACTGATAAATCCTCAGGCTGATGAGACGCGTTTTACATGAAAGGTCGACTGTCTACTTGTGCAAATAAGATTTCTGAATCCTAGGCATTTGAAGGAAAACAAATGCATATCTGAACATGCTGGAGTGGGTTGAGAGCCATATGGGAATACACAGAATCAATATTTCAGTGCAAAACACAGAGCCTTCTCAGGACACATCTCAAATAAATAGATAAATACAAAAGGCCATACAGTACACCCAAAATATTCTGTCTCTGTTTGGAAGGCAGTGGTCGAAGCACATGCCAGCAGATGGTGGGTGTTTGTTGGCCATGACTTTGGTGTTTGCTACTCACAGTTAAATGCTGATGTAGAGGAATAATAATCAATATGACACTCTTTCTTCAGCCGTGCATATTCAAGAGCTCCATTCATACCGTAATGTCCTGCTAAACACATCGAATCATTTATATAGCACTGCAAAAATAAATCCAATAAAGTGCATGAATCCTATTGTTAGCCCCCGCAGGTTGATTTCTGTCGGTGTGTGAGTCAGCAGTATGTGGTCTAAAGATAAGTTTAATTAAGCTAAAAGCTTCATTGGCTTCCCCCATGGCTCATTTCCAATCCCTCCTCCAGACTCACCGGAAACTTCGGACTAATTGGACGCCCCACCCGCCATAATCTCTGAGCCTAAATAAGATTAATGAGCGCACACATTTCTGAGCGAGCACCTATTCAATACTCCTTTTGGCAGCGCTCGCCGGCTCTTAGGGAGATTTCTTGCTTGGTCATGTTTGTAAACAAAAGCTGATATTTTTTTACTTTATTTCTATTTTCAGGTTTTACAGTGAAAAAAAAACACAGACCGTATTGCAGCAAGTACATCAGATACAAGTGTACTTCAAGACAATGGTGGATTTAGCATACAATACATCAAAGTAACATACATAGCACAAGGGAACAGATAACACAAATACATACAACAGCAAAGACAATTCAAAATGTAATTATAATAAGAAACACGACTATAACTAAGGGGTCACGAGGAGGCCATCACCAAGTACAATTGCATCAATCATTGTTTACTTATACTGAAAAACATCAAGTGAAAAACAGGTTATCACCTCTTTGTGTTAGGTATGTCCCATTTCACCTTTGTCTCTTTCTAGTCTCAGGCTGAAAGTCATGTGTTCCACACTGTGAATGTTTTTCATTATAGCTACCTATTGATCGATGGTTGGGAGGTTCCTGAGATCTGCGACTTTTTGAGTAACCTCGGTCGCGTCACCAGCACTTTGGCCGAATCTTCTCCACATCACTAACTTGTGTTTCCTCTCTTCTCAGGCTATGGGCACGCCGCTCCGGGGACCGATGCTGGGAAGGCCTTCTGCATGTTTTACGCCGTCCTGGGAATCCCTTTGACTCTTGTAATGTTCCAAAGTCTGGGCGAGAGGATGAACACTTTTGTCAAGTACCTCCTGAAACGCATCAAGAAGTGCTGCGGGATGAGCATCACGGACGTGTCCATGGAGAACATGGTGACCGTGGGGTTCTTCTCCTGCGTCGGCACGCTGTGCGTCGGAGCCGTCGCCTTCTCCCACTACGAGGACTGGAGCTTCTTCCAGTCTTATTATTACTGCTTCATCACATTAACAACTATTGGCTTTGGGGACTTTGTGGCCCTTCAAAAGAACCGGGCTCTCCAGAAGAAGCCCATGTACGTGGCCTTTAGCTTCATGTATATCCTGGTGGGCCTCACGGTCATCGGGGCGTTCCTCAACCTGGTGGTTCTTCGCTTCCTGACGATGAACAGCGAGGATGAGAGACGGGACGCGGAGGAAAGAGCCTCGCTGGCGGGAAACAGGAACAGCATGATCATCCACATCCAGGACGAGACGCTGCCGAGGGGCCGGCGGCGGAGGGAAGCGTACCGACAGGAAGTGACTGATCTGCAGTCGGTGTGCTCCTGTATGCACTACCACTCGCATGACTTCGGCAGCTCTGGGGGGGGGATGGGAGGCCTGGGCTGTGCCTTCTCCCATCAGAACTCGTTCAGCTCGCAGCTGAATCCCAATCAGTACTTTCACTCCGTTTCATACAAGATCGAGGAGATCTCGCCCAGCACCTTGAAGAACAGCTTCTACCCGTCGCCCGTCAGCTCGGTGTCTCCGGGCCTCCACAACTTCACAGACAATCACCAGCTGATGAGGAGAAGGAAATCTGTTTAAAGGCCTACACTGAGAACACTGAACCGTTGGCTTTAATTCAATGTATTATGTCAACACATTTCACATTGAGATAAGATGAGATGAGATGAGATGGAACTTTATTTATCCGCTTGGGGAAATTCAGGCGTTTATAGCAGTTTATAACAGTTTCAGAATGAAAAACAGGATTCACACAGGGTCAAATAAAGAATACAAATTAAAATAATAATACAACACCTTAAAGCAGTGGTTCTCAACTGGTGGGTCGCGACCCAAAAGTGGGTCGCGGACCCGTTTCGAGTGGGTCGCGGATGTGTGAGTGAAGAAAAAAAAGTTGGAAAAAAAAAATTGGAATTTTTTTTTTTTTTTTGGGGGGGAAACTCAAACTTTTATTTTGAAGGCCGATTTTCTTCTCAGAGTGTACCAGAATGCGTAGTTTATGTTAGTATTTCAAAAAATCTCCTGGGGGAGAATCCCCCCAGACCCCCCTGCTGGGGTTGGGTTTCAGCATGTGTGCCTTTTTATATAGTTCAGCTTTGATTCCATCATCTCATTAAACCTTTTTTAAAAGCATACTTTAGTTCTGTGAAGGGATATAAGGGATATATGCACTGTACTTCACTTTTATTAATATTGTATGCTCAAAAGCGTATATATTACAGCACGATTTTTTGTTGAATAGATTTGAGTGCTTCAAAATGTTGGGTCACGATGTATTGACCAAGTAAAAAGTGGGTCCCGAGGCCTGACCAGTTGAGAACCACTGCCTTAAAGTGACTATTGAAACAAGATATCACAGTAAAAAGTAGTGTATTTGTATGAACATGTTAAATACATTACTGTATTAGGTTAGCTGAAAGCAATAATATGAAGTTGAACCTAATATTTGTTATTTAAACTTCATATTATAGCTTTTAATTAACCGAATTAATGTTGTGTGAAATCTGTTGACATAATACATTTGATTAAAGCCAATGTTTCAGTTTTCTCAGTGGAACACACACACAGGACAAACTAGTTGTTTTATACACAAGGTCAAACATTTCCAATGCTGCTCCTTACCAAATCTTATTTCAGCACTTATTTCCTTCTTTGGTTTGTGTGTAATATAAAAAGTATTGTTGGGAACAGATGAAGAACACTGTGCAGAACAGACACACTGCGGAGGAACAGCATGAAGCATGGATGTCTACTTTTTCAAGAGCCTGCTCCATTTACAGACACAACAAGATGACGTCCTTATTTAACATTTACAGAACAGAATTGTTATATTAACTTTGGTTACATGCCAAATGATGCACACTTGGGGAAATGCTATTTTTCAAAAAGGGAGTATGCTTGTTTCACCTTAACTTGAAGAATCGTTACTATTCCATTGCCTCACTGCAGACAGAGATTTTAAAATGACTCAAAGCATCAGGTATTGTTTTCTATAAGCAATCATATACTCCAATGGTTTCGCCACACATCAGGCCAAAATATCGTTGCCAATATAGCATGTGCATTAGATGTCATTTACCGAGTGTACCATGGTTTTGTGACATTCTTTAGTCTATTTATAGAACAGCCGTGTGTGTCTGATTGTCTTGGATTCGAAGGATCATGCTGCTGTTATTAATATTTCACCCTTATCTAGAAACAGATCTCGCCACAAGAGTTTTAATTTCACCTAAGGCCTTTTGTATAATGAGATGTTAAATGAACTGTAAGACCATGCAACGCCCTTAAACTAATTTGCCTTTTTTGGAGTCTGTATTGGTTCTCTATTTCTTTCCATTGACATTCATACTCGATATCAGTTCTACTAAGTGCACTCTTATGTGCATTGAGATTTGTTAAAATTCACGTTGAGCAGTCCATATAGATTTGAAAAAGACCTTATGGTCAAGATGAATGCATCGGAGTGGCATGAACCAAAAATAAAATTGATTCGGCTTTGATTTATTTGCAATAAGCTGATCAAACTGATGCCAAAATAACAAATACATGAAATAAAAAGTCTTAATTTGATGGGTAGAGTTCGGTTCGATCAAGGCTTTGCTAACATTGGAGCTGCTCCAAACTCAAATCATTTTAAATGTGGCGTAAATACAGCAGCAGGACATCGACTTCTACACACTGTGTATCCATTACATTATTTCACCACTGGCAAATAATATGCTTAATAATGATGACAGGTGCCCAGTTAGGATCACAAGCTAAAACACTGGATCCTACAATTCCCATGATGCAACTCAATGGCATCTTAACTCACTTCCTCCCTAAATGCTTATTTTTTTGCAAATCCTACACATCACTTTTCGGCTTTCATTTCAAGTCACATGCCTAAGCTTTGATATTTTTTTTAATGTTTAAAGAACTACACACACTATACAAGTGAGCTCAAATTGGTAAAGTAAAACCATGAGGTGGCGTTGTGGCCATCTTCATGTGAACTCTCTGAACATACCAGGTGGTCAAGTAGCTCCACACCCACCTTTGTTTGGGTGCAAACGTTCTGCCTTTGGGGAAGCATTAACGGAGATTTATTTAAAACCGATGAGTCAGGTTGAGGAAAGTGAATTTACAGGTTCTTGGAAAATGATCAAGTGGCTCAAATTAATGAAGTGAAGTGTAAAAGGATCACAAGGTGGATTTTTCATTTAACCTTCAGCTACCAAAGTGCAATGAAACGACTGGCTGAATTTATAAGCAGTTTTAATCAAACCACATGCATGATTATTCCCTAAAGTCCTGCAGAGTATGCAATGCATGGCTGTAGCAGCTGACCCTGGATCTGCTGAATAACCCGTCTCAGACCTAACGGAGATCTGGGTTCAGAACTGCTCACAGGGACAGAGAAGCATGCAGATCTAAACTGACAACTCTTGAGGTTTGGTTGCACTTTGGAGCCATTAGGGAAACACAGCCTTGATAAACGCATCAACACGGAAACCAGCAGGGAGTTAATGTGAGCGGACAGCTGAGCATCAAAGGAACGCTTAATAACTTCAGTATGATCCTTTTATTTTCTGTAAATTATCAGAAGAAGGAACGGGAAAGGGACAATTTGTTTGTGAAAGATCTGTGCATGAACTTTGTATGATGAATGGGGGAAATAACTTCATAATCACTTTTAAAAGTATCTTAGCGGAAAATTGTCTTAAGAATGATTTACAATACAAGCTGTTTCTTTTGCCAGCAGTTCTTAAAGGGATACACCTTCATTCATTGGTCATTCAAACTGTCTTTACACTAATATTTGTTCTCAGGTTTGAATGAATCACCTTTATTTGGGTTTGCTCTTGTCACACAATCACTGAAGTGCAAGCGCATCGGCCGAATAATAACGCTGTACATATCGAGTCCTCGTTTTTCTGAGAAATGAGATGCATCATCTCACTGAGGCCCGTCCGATGCAGATTCACCAGGAGTCACTTTGCATTATAGGCTTCATTTCTGACAGGGTTTGAAAATATTACGGCAATCCTGGATATTTATACTGTATTGATATCAGGCCTGTTTTAAAGCCCAATGCTCCTTTCTGTCAAATATAATGCCAGCTGTCAAAGACAACATGTTCACCGTCTCTGAGCTCCTACGGATTCAAACGCTACACATTATTTCTAAAGGCCTTTTAAGATGTAAATGTATATATAAATTGTTTGTAAAGCCTGGAGCAGCTTTTTTTAAGTTATTCATGCAGGGCTGGAAGCTATTTAATTCCCTTTTTGCAATTTCTATCCTTCAAAATCACTGGAAAACCAAATTTCTACACCATGACTTTCAGTATCAGTATTCTTTGCAGCCTTGTGTTTAGCTTCTGTTCATTTCCTGGGTAGCTGAGCATGCCTCGCAAGGTGAATGCCACTCTGTTTGGGCAAATGGTAAAATGCCATGGATCCCATTCAGTCGTGACGAACATAACCAGGCATGGAGTCCGCCAGATAAGCCCTGAAAGCATTGTTTCATTCTTGGAACTATACGGTCTTATCTAAGTATCCTGTACAATATGTTTATAGCAACCTTTGGAATAAAAAGGCCTTTTCATGGCTGAGATGCATATGTATTTTTACACATTAGCATACGTGCCTTGAAGAAACAGCGGTCAGTGTTTCTGTTGGAGTACAGGGCACATTAAGTATGGTTGGTCTGTCTGTCCTTTAGCGAGCCGATTTTGAGAAGTCTGGAGCGCAGACACGGTTAACTTATAGACAGATCTCATGACAAACAAGTCCACAAGAGATAAAGACTACATCTTAAACCTATCGTCTATAACCACAAACACAACCAGCGCCAAAACAGACTGAATCACTACCTTCATTTTAAAAGACATAACAATCCTATAACAGTTGAAGAAATACTTTTAATCGTAGCAACTTGGGTCTTCCTTCCAACTTCTGGTCATAGTTCAATCAGTATAAATAATAGTGTAGTCACCAAGGTAATTGCTGAGATTGAGGAATGCCACACAATTGCTTAAAATGCATTCATATGGAGCAATACACAGAAGCAGGTGGATGATTAGACTGGTTTAATTAAAGGTAATGCTTTTGATGTACTCCCAAAAAAATCACATTAAAAATCCCAAAACTGAAAGTTGATTGATCTTGCTACAAGTCTGGACTTTTAGGCAAAGCTTGATGATTGTCCAGAACTAATAAAACACATGAATGATCAATTATGTAGGTGAACACGTGCACTGTAGTGTATCATGACGTTATATTGGACACCAAATCTGGAAGCTCTGAATGGCTAAAGAGAGAAAAATAAATCTGGTAATCAATTTTCTGAAATAAATAGTTTTCTCTCCCCACCTGTTTCACAGATTTAAAAATGAAATTAGAATGAGTTTCCTGGCATAGCTTGGTTTCCCCCACCTGTTCTAAAGGCAAAAACAAAGTAACAAGTAAACATTTTTGATCAGACTTAAAAAATGGATCACCGGTAGTGTTTTTCCCCCTTGTTCTGTACAATGTGTATTGATCCATCTGTCTTAAAAAATCCTCAACAAATACACTTGTAATCTCCTGTTTGAGTCG